CAGAGCAGCACATCCTGTGGCCAGGAGCCACTGCAGAACAGTGAAGCAGAGCCATCCAGCACCAGCTCTGGACATGCCCAGAAAGCTTCCACAAGATATCATCAGGGGACCAGTTTACGGACCCTAGAAGACCCTGAGGTTTGCCAAGGAACTTGGTATTTTGTCCTGGTGTGAGGAAAGGGCTGTGGGGGGGGGAGGTAAAAGCCAATCGCCTTGTAAGTGCCATACTGCCCCTAATGCTTTAGGTGGGAAAGGGAAGCTCTAACCTGGTTTGTGATGTTCATCAGTGCTAGGATGTTAACTCTGGGTTTTAAAAAAGAGTTGCTGGCAAAAGTGAAAAAGAAAAAAAGAAAAACAGAAATGTGTCTGCCAGGAAAGGTGTCTGATGGAGAAAAAGCCCCCAAAGCGATGAAGTGCACCACTTTGTAAGGACCACAGTCAAAGCAGCATCTTCTCCTGCTGGAGTCAGGGGCTTTGCAGCACAAGGAATAGTTCAGCCACGCTTTGAGACTTAGTTAAGTCTAAGAGAAATTAGCTGCTAAAACTCCGGAGGGTCTGACACAGGCCAGGAGCTCCTAGCTGTACCATGAGAGCAGCTGGCCCAAGAGGGTGGCTGGCCCTTGGGGCATGCAGTGCTGAGCAGCTCGGGGACCTGAGGATGACACCTGGGCTTAGACACAGCAGAAGTTTGGGACTGCCTCTGCTGAGGGATCTTCTGACCCAACAAAACTATCTTTGATTTGAGTAAAAACAATTCTCGGCCTGGCACAAAGGGAAATCACCTTGGGGTTTACCAGGAGCAGAGATGTGGACGGAGGGAAGACAAAAAAGGCAGAAAAAGAAATGGCATCACACGACCCCAGATGAGAAGGATGTGGAAGAGGGACCATTCTCCTTCCCTGGCAATGGCTGTGGCAGGGCACTGGGGTTATAGCCCAGCAGAAGTCCCCACATGCAGGACAGGCTAAAAGAGATGAACAGCCCCATCCAGGGTGACCCTAAGGCAAAATGCGACACCTACAGGAACAAAACCCCAACTCCTGACCCTCCAACCCAGGCAGCAGTAGCACCAGCCAACAGGACAGCTTGCTTTGCCCAGACAGAGCTGCTCAGCCTGTCCTTATTTCCCAGGCAATGATGCCACAAGAAGCCCAGCTCTGCCTTGCTTTCCTCCCACAGAACCTGGAGCACCTCCAGCTCCCACAGACAGTTGGAGCATCTCCAGCTCCTCCACAGCTCTGGACCACCTCATGGCTTGGTCCCCGCTCTACGGACAGAGCAGGAGCAACATATCAGAGACAGACTCAGCACCTGCCTGCATCACCTGCTCACATGAAACGCCAGCAACACTAGCCTGTCCTCCTTCACCACCCGCATTTAGGCCTGCAGACCCAGCTGCAGGGAGATGATGGGAAGCGGACGGTGACTCAGACAGCCGGAGGTGCCTGGGGCTGA